CTGGAACCCTCTCTCTTGAATCATATAAAATTAATTTCTAATCAATATAACACAGGCAGCATTCTGGAACCTTCTCTCTTGCATCATATAAAATTAATTTCTTATCAATATAACACAGGCAGCATTCTGGAACCTTCTCTCTTGCATCATATAAAATTAATTTCTTATCAATATAACACAGGCAGCATTCTGGAACTTTCTCTCTTGCATCATATAAAATTAAGTTCTTATCAATATAAAACAGGCAGCATTCTGGAACTTTCTCTTTTGCATCATATACAGACATGATTCTGGAACCTTCTCTCTCTTGCATCATATAAGTTCTTATCAAAAATAAAACAGACAGGATTCTGGAACCTTCTCTTTTAAATCAATTGGTTAATAAGGGGTGAAGCCCTCCTTGTGACTTTTGACCCAGTTATACCAATGCAAATTTTCTGATGCAACTCCTCCTCACACAGATAGACTCCACCCCCAACTGCTTTTATCTTCCTGCTCCTGGCAGATGCCCCAGCCCACTTTTATGAGCTTCTGTTTGAATCAGCCAATAGAGATAAAGGGGCGGGATTTCTATTTTTTCTGCTTTAAATAATTTTCGGAGGCCCTGTCATTCTTCTCGTTGCATTTGGTAGAGGAAGAACCACTTTGCTCTGACAGAAAAAAAAAAAAAGGTTCGCATTAAAAGAGAAAAGCCTCAAAAGAGAAGACATCAGGAAACCAATCGACTAGCATGTGGCTCATCTGCAGATGGACAAACCATCACGAGACCCTGCTCCATCGCTGATGCTTCATCTTCGACACTCCTGGATACAAATCTGGTCTTACCTCCATCAGCAGCGTTCGAATCCTCGGTTCAGCACGAGATTCCCATGTTCCAGGACTCCGAGCATCGTCCGCCTGACTCCTCTGGATCCCACTCTGCTGAAGCTCCTTCATCCATCTTGGGAAAAACCAACACCACCCGGTGTTGTCCAGTGGGACCTCCCTTCTCTGTGAGACTCCAAGCTCGGTCTATTAAATTCCAGTCCATAAATTGGATGCTTCCCAGAAGTCCACCTTTTTTTGTGCAAGAGAAAACCTGAAGACAAAAGGCAGCAGGTTGTGAAGTGAGGTGGAGAAGCTAGTCTGCTAACATCCGACTCAACTGCTTGAAGATCCAAAAACATCAGATGGGAATCCCACCACCAGACCCTGCTCCATGCATCACTCCAAGAAGTAAATCATTACAGTTGGACAAAGTTTCCTGTCTATTTATTTATTTATTTATTTTTATTTTATTTTATTTTATTTTTTGCTTCATTCATATAAATTTAATCCAATAAAGAACTTTTATCTCCACCTCCAAGCCTGGATCCACTCTCAGTCACTTCATCCCAGTCAAGGCTGATGAAGAAATTAAGGTCAAGGAAATTATAGTCACTATCTACTCAATAGTTAAGCATTTAAGAAATCATGTTAATTGTTATATTAATTTCAAATCATAATAAAAAAAGAGAATAGTTTCTTTCATAAACAAAAATGTATCTGTGTTTAACTTCCTCGCCGTTTCTTTCTCTGTGCTGCTCTCAGCTGGTATCTGATGAAC